AAATACGAATAACATGTCCTCTTTGCCTCCTCCTCCGCCTCCTCCGCCACCACCACCGCCTCCACCCCCACCACCACCACCACCGTTGTCCCAAATGTCTAACTTGACCAAACAACTGAATAATCTCAACACCAAATCGACGAATGAGGAAACGATCAAGCGTGTCGCCATTCCTCAGGGACCACCACAAGATTTGTTGTCTGCCATCCGCGCTGGGTTCCAGTTGCGGAAAGTTAGTGAGCGTCCCATGCCAAACACACAATTTACACGGAACAACAGTTTAGCCAGCCTTGGTAATCGGCCTCATGATGTGCAGGTATGTGTCCCGAGTTTTGGCTTTCAATATTTCCTTGTCCTTTTGGGAGTGAATGATAGCTCGTTTAAATTCCCCTAATTCTGTTCGGTTTCCTCTCGCAATCCGTCGGAGAAATAATGAATTGATAATCTAGGCCCAATAAAACATCGTTCAAGTTTGATCTGCTTTGGTAGATGCAGTTGTTTGTGTTGAAATCTGATAGTGTTAACTTTTTCTGGGTTGTTGAAGGTTTGGGACTTTCGACTGAGTTCTGTTGGAGCATTTCATGTTGAAAGGGTGCAAAACTTCCGAAATTATTTCCGCCGTACAGAAAAAGTATGCAACTGAAATTAGTATATACTCAGCAATGTAGTGCTTTTCACGCCAAAGATCAGAATCAACGATCTGAAAGAAATTTGCCATCTAAATCATATCTACTACAAAGTGGATGAGAAACGGTGGAGGAGTTCAAATTCTGAAGACTTCACTGTCTGTGATGATCTTCAGTGGTAAATCGCATAAGCCTCAATCGTGTCTAGGCTATCGACGCATTTAAAAAAAGAGCCAGGAACTATCGCTAACGTACTATTCGAATAGAGTCAGCACGAGTTAGGTCGTTTCATCACCTAGTGGTCCAATTTTTTCCGAAGGATCCATGTTATCATTCCACTAAGAAGTTTGCAATGGGTGGTGGTGGCGTAGTGGTTTATTCGCTGTCACAGGCTTGCTTTGAACCCTGTGGTCCGAGGTTCGAGCACCGCCACCCAACTTTGGTGATAGTCAACTTTGCTGTCGTCCGGTCCAATACCACACCTAACCTGTCGGGGGCTTATGTGGTTCGCCACTCCAAGTCCCGGGGCTTGGGTTATCGGTTTCCATCACTGAACAGTAGATCCTCGTGACTATAGGGCTTTCCTCGTCTGCTGTTCATCACACGAAAGTTTGTAATAAAAAAATTTACCGAAGCAACGTCCGATACCTTGAGGCTTAGGAATGTGTACTAATCGCATTGAAACAATCGACCTATGATTACTGCTTACCGAAACCCGTTCATTCTCATTATCGTCCTAGTTAAAGTTACTTGTGGTAATTGTGATTGGATTTGAGGCGTTCGTGCATCTCAGTTGAGGTAATATTTCCATTTTCTTTGTATGCCATCTGATATGAACAGCCATTTAACTTCACACTTTTTNTTAGGCCATTTACGAGGCAGTTCGTCGGCGTCGTGAGTGTATGGAAAACAACTCAAGTGAAGAGGATGACGATGATAAGGATGGAAACAGTGATTCCTCCGGATGGGATGACTAATCATGGCTCCGTGATTCTGCAGTTATTCATCTACTCACCCATTTCCGATGGAGGTGGAATTTTCTATTGGTCAGTACAAGTATCACACCCCTGAAACCACTCACTCTCTTCGGATGTTGAGAGAACGTGTGACAACTGCTGTCCGTTGATCCATAACAGGCAACTTCTCCCCGGTAGTCTGCAATTTGACGGTCATCCCAAGACCCACTTCCCTGTACGTTCTCTTCGCTCGTACATACGTACTTACAAGTGTTCTACAGGTTNTACAGGTTCCGCACGTCTTTCGATGCGTTTCTTTTTCATTTTTTCATTTGATTCCTGGTTGTTGCTTTCCCTCGTCTATTCTCTTCCTTTCGCCCGCGCTTATCAGTTTCCATCTGTTTTTCCCAACATGATTAACACTCATCATGTATCCCTTTAATCTAGATCCAGACAGATTGGACAAATCCACGGTTGTTGTCCATAATGCTGTTGTTCTATTTGAGTGTCGCCACCGACCTGTATCTATTCCCCGTGAATAGTTTACCCTAACTTCTCCGTACCATCCTTTAATTACCCTGACTGTTTACCCACTAAGGATTATCACGATTGTGTAGAGAATCAGTTTTTTTAGTTGTTCATGATATCCGTGACTGATATAGGCGCACTCCACTTGTATACTAAACCAGAATGTTTTTTTCTCAAGGATTTGCGCCTCTTGCCCCTAGTCGTCACGTAAAATATTCATTGAATGGTCAGCTAAATTGCTTGCTAATCGCTCTCTATCCGTTGTCGTTCCATCTACTCACTTGCCTGCTTCTCCGCATTCTTTGGTAGCTGATTAACTTATATCGCTGTTCAGAGTCACGAATCACCTGTCTGTATTGTCTTCAATCATTACTGTATTGCTGTATCATGTGCAATGTTTGCCTCACGGTCTACCGGTCTCACCCTGAAGATTTTTTGGTTGCACAATTCTGTGCCTCATATTTCGTTCTCTTTCTGTTCATTCCCACGTACATGACCGCAATCTGCTACTCTGCATATACATGTTATAGGTTATCATGCGTTTCACTCCCACTTTCTCGTGACTTCCTTCGCGTCGCTCAATCGACCCTTCCATGCCTTGATCCTAGTCTCAACCGGTTTCTCCAGCCCTCGTTTACCCACACATTGACTGACAATAGTTCCCAAATACCCGACATTATTGTCCCTTTCACAGTTACCCTACAATCATACGGATATTGCATGCACTGCGAATCCGCCATTGTAAACCACACATCCTCCTTTCAATATCCGGTTGGCTACAAGTTAAAAGCTGATCGCAATAAAAATGTCTGCTTTCTTGGTGTTTATTCCACCGATCCTGTCTGCGTGCAACACGTGTGAGTCAAACTTGTGAAGACTGCCACAATATAGAACATCTGGTTACAAGTAGTTTTTCGTAAGAGAATTGTAACATGATTAATAAAATGATATAGGCCAATACGATTGATATGCTCCAATCAAGTCATTCGAAAATAACGTGACTCAAGTCTTTCAGGAGTTTGGTATAGTAAAGACTGGTGTTTCTATATGTATATATATCAATAAGTATACAATCTCCATAAAGGCCGATTTCACCGTTCTTCCCGCTCGTCAGGCATCATTTTACCGCGAGGTACAGTGAAGCGAACTTCACTGATCGCTTTCAAGCTCACAATGTACACAAATTAAGCGATTAAAGAGGGGTATTGAGTCTAATTGGAGGGCTGAAAAGAAAGCGAACCTCTATGATCAAATCACAGAGTGCAGAACCTAACTATGCATACATACGTTTTCAGGCATTCTGACCTGATAAGAAATGACAAGAACGCCACTGCTGTCGGGTACTTGCGATGTCCTTCAGTGTCTCCAGCCAGCCAACTGCAGTCTTTTGGACTCCGACTTGGAAGATGGGAGGNTACCTTATCCCTGTGCATTTCTTCAGGCCTCATTTCCACGTTATCTGTTGACCATATGGTTTCTTCCAGCCTGGTGCTGCAACTACGAATAAGACGCGGGGCGGTAGAACGTAGCTGGGTGTACGCAATACGTGTCCTAACCAGCGAGACCGACTGATCTGAATTTGTTGGGACAGTGAAGTCTCCATTGAATCAATAACAAATACGTGACGACTTACATCAGAGTTGCTTACACGCTCGCTCCATCCAACCGGCGCCAAACTACGTAAACATCGGCAGTCAAAGACTTCTAGACGACGAATATCTTTCACGCCCAAATTTAGGGCCTCGCAACCATAGAGCAGAACTGACCACACGCTGGTACAGTAAACACTACTTTTCAGTTCCAAGGACATCGCGTCTGTACCAGAGGTGTTTCAATCCTTCGCAAGCTGCTCGTGCCTTTGAAATGTGGGTGGTTACTCCTTTGACCATGCTACCGTCATTTGTCACGCAACTACCTACTAAGTAAGAGAAACAATCCACTATGACTAATTTTTGACCATCAAGCATCAGAGCCGGGGTAGACGACACCCAATAGTGTGGCATCACTTTGCACGTTATTGGTTCAAAGGGCTTAGCAAATGGAATTACAGAACTTGAAAGTCTGTCAAGAGCGCTTTGCGCATCGTCCATACATTCTGGCAAACAATGTTGCCTTCGCACTCTAAATCGCACAGTTTTTCTCTCCAGCTGTCCATTTAATACCAAAATTTTGGAGAACCCTAAGCGAGTTTTCCAGTGTTTCGTCTACGACGAAGTTGGACGGGAATGGCGTAATAAAGCCCCCTTGACGATCCGCTGCTAGTTTCGCACGATTTGTGTAGTCCACCTTGGACCTTTAGACTAACTAGACCTTATGTATCCTGTAGCATTATGAGGCCACGTATGCTGGGATCCATTCGAAAAACTACTGCTTCATTCGTGTGGCTGGACAATCAGGAGCTCCGTTTCGTCTGTTCAAACGCAACAATAACTCACCAATCCAGGAGCTTTTAGTTCAGTTCATTACTTCAGGCTTCTCTAATTATTTTTGTCACTATTCATGTTGAGTTACTAGTGTTGTAACTCCACAAAACCAGTACCGGGCTAAAGAGACCTATGTATGTGTAGGGGCGACGTAAACACTGGTTGCACAGAACGTAGCGTCTGATATGAAACGGAGTAATCATGCCTAACAAACACTCGGAATCATTGGTAGCGCGATATAACGATATGCTGGCATCTGTAGTTACAACGTTAAATAAACCAACTCACTCCAGAAGGTCTTATTCTGTTTTGGTATTGTGAGAAAGTAGCAATCGCTTCCTCTGGTGCGTGCACCAAACGCACTACTGACGAATGTAAGTAATACATCACAGCGGTGTATCAGTAGTCAGGTTCGGAATATTTCCAACCGAGCCATAACCCTCGAGGCTAGTACTACAGTGTTCCGGGTGTGATCCTCGCAACAAGCCTGGAAAGATGGTTTTTGCTATGTGGCATATGGGTAAAGTAAAAGCCAATCTGGTCGGCTACCCGGTGTTCCAGTAGGTTGTATGGTTTCACTTTGTGAGTTCTCGGGTTCGATACTCAGCCTGGTCGAGGCTTCGCACTGCTAATCAAACCCATTCGAGCCGAAATAGCTGTTCAGTGCCTCCTAATTTTCCATTTCACTCTTCACTTGCTGTATCTACGACGAAATTCATAAAATAAATTTGCTTTGTTTTAACCGTTTAGTAGGTGATTTTGTAGGTCTTGTAGACCAACTAAGTACAGACCGCTCAGTTTTTTTAAGTTTTCATAAACACCTGCATTGTACTAATGTGTGACGCTCTTTGGAGGCTGCTTTTAGGCCACATTTTGTAGACCATCAGAGGAGCAAATATAATAGAGCGCTTTCAAGGTGGAGAAAAAGAAAGCAAGTTAACTAAACCTGCCCAGAAAATCAGTAGATACACGAGCGTCACTGTTTACGACTCGTAGTGATATCACTTAGTATATCTGACCAATCATTAGGCAGGTTAAGTGAACCAGATGAGAACGTGTGATCGAGAGCACCGGTCAGGGTTTTCATAACTGCATATCATGTCTTATTTTGACCACCTGGGACCTTCTTCCACTCACAAACTGTCTCGGCGGTCATTGCTGGTCGAGCAGACGCATCACGTGACATGCGTAACACCCAGCCACAGCAATTTCAGGAGGTCAGGTATTTGCGTCAGTTTGCGTTCATGATTACCTACTCTGCCTTACCTCAGCATTGCCTGTCCGGTTGCCCCACCAGACTGCTCCAGTGTAGATTATGCTATTTAATAATCGTTCTATTTTGAATATTCAATTAATCAAATGATCTTTGGGTTGCGTTACACATGAGCCTCTTTAGCCATATTTTCCTAAACCAGGCGTTAGTCGCTCAATTGTTTGACAAAAGAATCACCTAGACTCCTGCATACATAAGTTGAGATGTGGTCACCTTCGATTGGATCTAAGGAGCACGCCTTACGACAAGAGGATAGTATTTTCGATTTTTATTCAAGTCATTTGTGTGGTTTATTAAAATTCGGAATTGTATCATGAAATTTCCTCGAAACGAGAAACTGTAGGGCTGCAAGGTGTTAGTAGTAGTCGAAATGATGATCTGTGAAACCGCTTGAAGTTACATCATGCGACGCACACTACCAGTCTTTTCCCACTCGGACGAAATAATCTGCCAAAGGCTTCACATTTATCATGTTTGACCACACTGTTGTTTGTTGTTTTTCAACCATTGCAACTTTGAAGCGAATTCAACGGTGGACCATTTTAGAAGTTCACGCAGAACCGAGCATGTTCAATTATCAGAATGTACCGTGTGATTCCATTCTTTGGATAACCATATTACGGATCAGATGAGGCAAAATATCGGGTTTGGTGGAGAGGTCATTGATTCTATCCCAGTTGGTTGAGTGAAATTTTCAATGAAAATATTTCTGGTTATTTCTGGCCTTGATTCAGCTCTTCTCAAGCAGCAAATTAAATACCCTGTTTGTAGTAGATTATCTACACTACCCTTCATTT